TGGCGGGTGCGCAGAGGTCCCAGCCGCGGTCGGTCTCTGTGCACGTATTTGTCGTCTAGTGGGCGGGTGCGCTAGAGATATCGTCGTCCTCGCGCCTGCTGACAGAATGTGCGTCGTCGGCGACGGCGGCTCGCTCCCAGGAGGCGGCGGGCGAGGCCGCGCCTCGGGCGGGCGGCAGCCGCGACGAGCGCGTGGGGCGGGCGATGCAAGCGGCGGGGCTCGGCGACATGCTCGCGTGCTTCGAGCCTGGTGACTTGCACGCTCTGATGCCGGCCGTGTATGCGGACGCCGCGGCACACCCGGAGGTGTATCGGCACGTCGCGGCGGGTCGATGACATTGGTTTGTTGTTTGCTTGCTTGATATCTCGAGGCTTTGATTCTTAAAGGAAACCGTTACACGTCCCTCTCGCGTCACAGCTCACACGCCACAAGGTGAGAGAGTACCGACAGGCGAGGGGCCGAGCGTTTTTGATCTCTCGGTAAGTGGGCGCCCGCCCGCCGCCTCTGAGGGGGTCGGGCCCCCTAGACTGAAAACAAAAACAAAGTGTAGAAACCGTCAAAAACAGCCTGCGAGAGCGGCGCTGCGCGCCGCCTAGAGGACGACGACATCGAGGATGTCATGTTGCGCGATGGCGTCATCCATTTCGTCAAGCCACCTTCATCGTGACCGTCGCCACCCTCGCCACCGTCTCGCCTACGTCGCCGCCGTCGCCATCGTCGGCCTCGCTGCCGAGACGGTGCTGCTGCACCTGACTCAACTCTCCCACCCCCCTGGCTCCTATGCCGACGTGTCCCGTGCTCCCCCGTCCGCCGATGTCTCTGCTGCCGCCCGGCGGAGCTCTGCAGCGCGGGCTCTCCTCGCCGCCTTCGCTGCCGCTGCATCGCTGTCGGCTCGTCATGTCTGTCTAGGGTCATTGGGGGCGTGCCATCGCTCGTGTCTCTCTCTCCCGGGGTCAGCTGCAACCTGCCGTGTCGGGACGTCGCCCCCTCGGCTCCCCCCCCCCCCCCCCCTCCGCTGAACGGTACTGCACATGCTGCGCGTTCTCGCCTTGTCCCAGGAGCCAGGTGCGTGTGTCTAATCGTAGTGGGGGCCCTGGCCCCCCTCTGTTTTCTGTTTTCTGTTTTTCAACACGCCCGCCCGCCCGCCACCCCGAGGCGGCTCGGCCCCCCACTTACCGAGAGATCAAAAACGCTCGGCCCGACAGCGGAGTCCGGAGACCCCCTCTCGCTGCTCGCAAGTCTCCCCCCTGCCGGCCCTCGTTAGTGCTTAGAGCCAAGTCCCAAGCGTGGACGGAGTTGCCCCTTCGTCTCCGCCGACTGCCCCCCCGGCTAGTTCAACAAATGTACACACAAAACCCCCGAGGGAGCCCTCTCATCTAGTGTGGTTGACTGATTTCTCTCGGCTCCAGATGTCCGAAACTGAAATAAAATGCGACCAAAGCGCTCTCAGCACAGGCGGCGCCCCCGAATAGGCACGCACGCCGTTACGGCTTGTCTCTCGCAGCGAATGCCCGTCCCCGGAAAATATGCGCGTGCCGGAAGTCAAAAATGGCGAAGTGCAGTCACCACATTCCCCGCGCCATGTAGCGTGTTGCATTCTTGGCCGTCACACGACATCTCGGCGGCCTCCTCGACCATCGGAAGGGGGTTGCCCGCGACTGGCGACGGACGGAGGTTAACCCACTCGACGCGCTGGTAGTAGTACCTGTGCGAGGCCGGGGGCTCGCGTGAAAACCGCTTCATGCTCGTACTATTAGCCGGTGCGTTGGCCCTATATTGTCGGGCTAATAGGCTCACGCGGTATTGAGGTCGAAGACACGAGCTGGCAGCAGCTGTGCACGGGCGAGCACACCGGTGGGTCGGGGGTGGTGGTCAGCTGGGAGGTGTGGCCTTGGAGAGCATTACCATGCGGCCGTCAGCGAGACGGATGGTCTTGAGTCTCTCCCAGAGCCGCTGGGCGCGGTGGGAGATGACGGGGGCGGGAGCAACACTGAACGTGTATGAGCTCGTGGGCTTGAACCTGCGGGCGCCATCGCGGGGTGAGGGGAACTGCTGCCAGGTGCTAAAGGAGGAGGCATTGGTCAACGAGCGGGGCTGGCTGCCAGATCTCGGGTTGGAACTCGTCTGACAGCTCGAAGCCGGGTCGCACCTGGGGCGGTGGGGCGCGACGGCGCTGAGCGCGTGGTAGCAAGCAGGGCGAGCAGCGCGGCGGCCGCACCGTCTCTGGAGGCGGGCCAAGCTCCAGAACGACCGAAGCAGGGATCGCCAAGTTTATCGGGATCTTCAGAACGACGGGCGCCACCTTGCGCAGGTGCGGCTCGTGGGTCCAAAAGATGATCGAGGCCTACGTTCCGCGGGCCCGGGGTCAGCGGGGTGGGCAGGGAGCGAGGCAGGCAGGAGCCGAGGGTCGTTGTACCCCTTCTGGCAGCATTTTGCCCCTGACGGTGACGTTATCGGGTGAATCGCGTCAGGGGCGGAACCTTTTTGGATGAGACAACTGCTGTCGCCGCCTCGTTTCCCTGGTCTGTTTGTATCCCCTCTCTCTCTCCCAGATTTGACGAGCTCATACCTGTGCTGGAGGGAGGGGACGAGGGGTGGGAGGGAGGGAGAAACAGGAAGGATCAGTCAGACAGATCAGAAAGAAGAGGAGAGTCGAGAGAGAGAGAGAGAGAGATCAGTCAGATGACCCCAGGGAAGGGAGTGACGATGAAGCGCGACAGGAAACGTTGCGTGCGGATGCAATAAACAGAAAGAAGGGGAATTGGCCATCCGTTTGGCGCAAACCAAAGTGCTAGAACCAGTCGTGCCCGCGCGGAAGATGGAATGTAGACCAAACCGAACGAAGAGCCAGATGGATCAGGGAGGCCGCACTAGCCCAACAGGATAGGGACGAGCCGTGGTTAGGTCCAGCGACTAGGATGTAATGCGCATCGGCTAGTCACTGAGGGGGTGTGCTGCTCGTTCTCAGGGAGGGGCATAGTCCCGTTCACACCCTCACTTAGGCATGAGCGCCCGAAACTTGAACGGCGGGCGCTTGACGAACCCGAGGGGGGGACGGGGGCAGCAACGACTGCGGCCCCGAGAGTCGAATCGACAACTCATAGTTCGAACTGGCGACTCATAATGAAACTTGCCGAAATCGCCCTGTGGGGCGGCGCAGCGGCGACCGCCCCGGGGGCGGCAGCGGTGACCGCCCCGGGGAATATGTTTAGCGACTCCCACCCCCAAGGAAGTTCTGATAGACATGTCCAGGACTCTGTGGCTGAAGTAGCGTGTGCGTCGAAGCCACAAGAGGGCTGGCTACGTCGCTCGTCGGAGAATTGGGGGGGTGGGGGTTTCGCGTATTTTGTTTTCTTTAATAGTTCTGGAGCAAACGATTCCACAAGCGTACTGGTCGTGAAGAGGCGCGATGGAAATCGTGGGACGCGAGCTGAGCGGCGGCCGGGTGTCAAAGGTCGCGCGCACAGAGGCATCCCCCCCAGGGCCGCCGGACGGGTCGGTCCCGGCGCTGTTCACAGCGCCGACATCCGTCCACACCCCAAGGGACATCACCAAAGGAGGGGGCATGGCCATCTCCCCCTCCTCCTGCCCGCAATCGGCCCGCGGCGCGTGCAAGCCGCAGGGCCCCCACTCCGCGCAGGTCACAGCTGTCTGGGTCTGTCCTTTTCTTTCTTGAGCACTAAAGCACTGGATAGGGTCGATTCCGCATGGTACGGGGACCACTCGATCGTCTCGCCCTCCCTCGCTATCGATCGCAGCGCACTCCCACTCGCCGTCTCCGTCTGTGTGAGCCTAGCGCAGCGGCCAGCGCGAACTCGCCGTCTGAGCCTAGGCCCTAGCGCAGCGCGAACTCGCTCTGAGCCTAGCGCAGCGCCTCGGACATCACCATTTTTGTTTGTAGGTATATTGTTTTACCATTTTGGCTCGCCAACAAGCCCTCCGCGCCCTGCGGCCCTTGGAGCACTTGGAGTGCAAAGAAAGAAAGAAAGAAAACAGACAACCCAAGGGAGGGATGGGAGGCAAAAAAGAAAGAAAGAAAACAGACAACCCAAGGGAGGGATGGGAGGACGGCACGCCGCCACCACACAGGGATTTTAAGGAGAGGTGTGGTGCAAAGAAAGAAAGAAAACACACAACCCAAGGGAGGGAGCTGTGGTGCAGTACTTAGCGTAGCGGAATTACTTTTTCCCTCGCTCCCCGACCGAAGAGGCATCGGCCGCGCACGTGAAGTAGCGTCGACGTACAGTCCAGACCCCTCCAGTCGCGTGAAGCAGTTCGCCAGAACAAACATATGGAGCACCCATCCCCGCTCCGCTCCCTCACTCCTGAGCTCCTCGTCCACGCGCTGAGCTTTGCCGACGCGGTCTCGCTGCTCGCTGCATCGCGCGCCTGCGCCGCGCTCCGCGCCGCCGCAAACGAGGAGCAGGTGTGGACGGCGTTGCTCTGGCGCCACCACTCGCGCATCCTGCGGCTCCTCTTTCACGGGCAGCCACCGCGGGAAAATGACGGCCTCTCGCCAAAGCAGGCCTACTTCGAGTTCGCTCGCTCTTGGAAGCTCCTCGCGCAGCGGCGGTCGGGTCGCCTCCTCCTAAAGATTGACGGCGAGGCGGCGGGCGGCCTGGCGGGCACATTCGGAGTGTACGACGCGACCGAGTACGCGCCGCAGCACCCCGGCTTTGAGCTGATCGTCGAGGACGCGGCGGAGGAGGAGGACTCGACGAGCACCTTTGCCGCCGCCTCGCACACGAGTCTGGCAAAGGCGATCCTGCGCTCGCTCGCGGTGCCCGGGCTCGAGTGCATCCGGTACGACGGCGAGGACGTGCAGCTCGCGGCTCTGCGGAGGCGGACGCTGCATCGCTCCTACCTCCTCTGCCTTCGCGCGTGGGCGAGGCAAGCCGTGCGGTGGGCCGCCCTGCTCGCGGCCGCCCTCGTCCTCCGCGCCGCCTGCGGCGCGGCCTGCTCCGCCCTCGCCGACCTGTGTGCGACGCCGGCCGCGGCGTCTGCGGTCGTCGTCGCGCCGGCCGCAGCCGCGCTGAGGAGGCGGCGCGCCCGCAACAAGGAGCTGCGATGACTCTAGAGAGAGCTCATAGCTCTAGGGAGGCAGGGAGGCGTGCCCAACTTGTTGTCGTTTTTTGAGAAGCTCCGTGGTGCACACGTGTCCGTGCCAGCGCCAGTGTGCCTAGCAGTGTGCGCAGTGGTGTGGTCCCGCCCGCCGCCGCAGCCCGCACTTGCCACTTGAGGCACTTTGGAGTGCGGTCATTACACATTAGCCTGAGGAGCACTTGGGCAACTACAAATAAATAAAACGGACATGCCAAGCTATTCCTAGGCGCTAGGGCTGGTCGAGCGGGACAGACACGTCCCCCAGGATTTTCAGTGTATGTAGCTCTTACGAACATAGTACCCGTAGCGCGTAGTGAACTGCATTTTGCAAAAGGGGAGGGGGGGGCGCGCATCGCGGCGCGGAGAGGGCTGGGCACAGG